AATCAAGCTTAAAGGAAACGCCCGAGCAAATTTTTCATCTGATCTGAGCCACCTCGGTATGCTAAACAAGAATGTCAACACCAACTGCCGTGAAAGTTTCCAATAAAAAATCTGTACTCATTTCGGACGGACGGACACATTACAGCAGGATTTCGTATTTTGGTCTTTCGATCCCAAAACGTTAGCTTGGTAAATAGTTCAAAAATCTAGAAATTCGAGTGGTTCAGAAAAATGTATATAATATTGATATTAAAAGAACTTTCGGAATTTGCTTCCCTTTACAATACATACTACTTTCCAGGGAGCCTAATTTAACATCGATTCGTCAAGACCGCCATAACAAACCTTTGCAATCTTTGCAGCATTGTCATAGCCGATATGAGGGTTGAGAGCAGTGACAAGCATGAGTGACTCGCGCATAATCTAAAGGGAAAAAAGAAGCTCAAACGATGGTGTAAAAGCTAAATATTATGTCAAACCTTAGCAATATTCTCCTTATTAGCCTTGATGCCATCTACACAATTGAGCGAGAACGAAACAGCAACATCAGCCAGAAGCCTAAAACTGATGTCCATCAGGTGAAGAAAAACGAAAGCCAAGTTTACCTGGTAGATTGCAGAACATTCTTTATGATAAGTGGTTTGAAGACGTTAAGCTCAAAGTGACCGTTGGAGCCTCCCACAGTAACGGCAACCTAAAGGGAAGCTAGTAAGTGTAAAATTTCAGTTGAGAATCTGTAGTTATCACCTGATTTCCCATAACCTGAGCGGCAACCATAGTCATAGCCTCGCATTGGGTAGGATTGACCTTTCCAGGCATAATCGAGCTTCCGGGCTCGTTCTCAGGAAGGGAAAGCTCACCCAGACCGCACCTAAACTCAAGAGTGTCATACGCAAAGAATTCGGATATACAATTCTTTACCTTGGACCAGAGCCGAGGAAACGAATATCATTGGCGACCTTCATGAAAGATGCAGCCAAAGTGTTTAAAGCGCCGTGTACTTCAACTAGAGCATCGTGAGCAGCAAGAGCTTCGAATTTGTTGGGAGCAGTAGTGAAAGGCAACCCAGTAAGGTCAGCAATAGTCCTAAACACATATAATATCCACTCGTGGACCTTCGTAAAATTATGCAAGTCTTTCTTCAACACACTCACTTTGCAGCCTTTTCAGCAAAGCCCTTACGGGTGTTCAAACCAGTCCCCACAGCTGTTCCTCCGAGAGCCAATTGGTGAAGGCGAGGCAGGGTCCCCTTTACACGCTCGATGCCATTCTCAATCTAAAACACTTCGCTTTGCAAGTTTTTCCAATATCCAACATTGAAACTTAGAATTCCAACCTGTTGCGCATAACCAGAGAACTCCTGACCAAGAGTCAATGGCACAGCATCCTGAGTGTGAGTACGGCCAATCTTGATAATATCCTTAAACTCGTTCGATTTCTTCTGAAGCGAATCATGGAGTTGTTTCAAAGCAGGTAGAAGGCGAGCATTAATCTAAAAGAAAAGAACTTGAAACCTCCTAGATTAAACTTTCATTGTCGCGCACCTCTCTAGCTACAGCGATGTGCATTGCAGTAGGGAAGGTGTCATTACTTGACTGGCTCATGTTCACATGGTCATTAGGGTGAACTGGCTTCTTTGAACCCAATTCTCCACCAAGCATTTCAATCGCCCTAAAATAAGCTCCAGTAGGGTCTGATACGAATATCTTTTGCAATGAAATATTTATTTTCAAAACTCTAGGCCCCTAATTGCTACTGTTTGAAAATTATCGTTTTAAAAAATAGCGCTGGAGACTGACCAGTGATCACTTA